TTTCCACTGACCTTTATTTTTGTGGTTTTTCACCTTTTGCTCTTACCATGTCTATGGTATGACTTATTGCAGGTCTCACTCTCTGGATGGCACTGGCCCTCCAAGTTGATCCATGTTCCTTTGTTTTTCATTGACGACAAGTAAAAGGGGCTATCCCTGTTTTGGAAACTCTAAATCCCCATTCTGAACACATCATCATCCGTGTGTATGAATATTTTGCTTCAGAAAGATTTATTACGTGCTTTTCCCAAAAGTAATCAGTTCAAGTGCAACAGACTACCTACACATTATGCCAAACATTGAAAAATGTAGTTCCATTTCAATACAACTTGATATATCAGCAGTGTTTGACACAGAACTTGTTGACTTGCATATTAAAAAATCATTTTAATATAACATACTTAACCATGTATTTGGTCTGTCTAGCCAAAAAAAAACTAGTCTCAAGATTTTTTTTTTTCACTATAAACAGAATACAAAAGTGTGCATTATATTGCATGTGTGTATATAACAAGTTTTTCAATGAATGTATCATTATATTCTGGACCATCAGTTTAACATCAAAATTTAAGTTAAGACTAACATTGATGTTTATATTATTATTATTATTCTAGTTATTGTTAGATTGATTACATTTGTTATCGTGTTTGTGAATATTGCAGAGGTATATATTCCAAACACAGCTAGTGTCTGAAAGATATGTAAATATTTTTGAGATTTTGAAAACTTGGGAAGGACTTTGAGTCACGAAAAAAAGGAGAAAAGTTGGGAGAGAAGGAAGAATGAAAAAAAAGGAGAAATATATATAAAAACTAGGGAAAAAATTTATACTGTGTGTCTGGTTTTTTTTGCAAAATTCGTACTGTTGTCAGTCAGACAGTGTAAAAACTAGAGAATGACTTTTTAAATACTTTCCCCTGGATTATTTTAATCATTTGAATTTATCAGTTTTACAATAATAAACTGCTGAACTTTGGCTATAAAAACAATTTGTACTTTAAACTTTACAAGCTCTATATTAAACGTTCAACAGAAACTTCAGTCGTTTTCAAGTTCCAACACGTACACTATATTTCCTAAAACTAATCGGGAACCTTCCTGCCGGAAGTTGTTTTTGTGAGATAAGATTTCTAAGAAATATATTTAAGATTGGTAATAATCTATTCGTGATATATTTTATTATTTTAATTTTTTTTTTTTTCTAGATTCTTGGATTTGAAGTGGACACCATCAATTCTGTGCAGCTATCAAACCATACAGGTCATATACTTCTTGTTAAAAATTTTGTAAAGTTGCTTGTAAGATTGAGAGCTTAAGCAGTTCCTATATGGTTAAAACATTTTTTATTTGTTCACAGATTTACTGCTTAAACACATGACCTTTTTATTCATTCTGCATTACATTATAAACAGCTAATGTAGTTAGTTCAGTACGTGTAGTACTAAACCAATGACAATTAAAGAAGTCATTAAACATCCTACTGAAAGGATTACTCATTTGTTTAGAAAAAAACAAACAAGTTATTTGTGTTTGAGTTTTGTTTTTACATTTATTACTAATCTATAAACTAAGCAGGATCAAGATTCCCTAAAACATGAACTTGTTGTTTTTGGAATGACATTTTTGTGTCATTATTACTATTATATTTCTATTATTAATATGATCTTTAAAAAAATAAGATTCTTACCTAAACATTTACACTAACTTAATTTTTAGCTATTCATAAAATTTCCCTTTTTTTTTTTACAAAACTCAAACACAAGATATCAAATAGTTAACCCAATTTAATTTTTTCTGAAATTTTGGGAAAGCCCCTATTTACAATATTATAACACCCAAGGCCAAAAAAACTGAAATCTTGATTGCTTTCATTTGAAACTGTTAATAACAATTTGTCTATTTCTGATTAAAGTCGTTCTTTATAAGCACCTCTTTGTTTTTATGCATAAATAGAACTAAAATAACTGACTCTTATGTTTATAGGATACAAGTACTGGAAAGGTCAGATATTAGATGCAGAAGAGTTGGGTGAAATTTTTGATGGCTTGAAACTCAATCATCTGCAGCGTTATACACATTTACTGACAGGTATATCGAACTAGAGATTGTTTTCTTGATATTAAGAATCTCTATTTAACCATAGGTTGTTAGGATCATTTCTCCCCAAATTTAAACATCTGTATTTTAGTTTGTGGTAGATATTTTACTGTTGTGAATTAATTTGTTTCATCAGCTATTACTCTCATTAGCAGTCGTATTGTTTATAAGTAGATGTTCATGTTTTTGGTTTCAGTAAAAACTTTGCATTTATTATAACAGTTACTTCAATGAAGTTATATGTTAATCTCAAGCTTCCTAATTAATCACGAGAAATCTATAAATTAAGTAATTTTCACATTTGACCCTGACGTATCACACCACTTATTTCATCACACCACTTATTTTATCACACCATTTATTTTATCACACCACCTATTTCATCACACCATTTATTTCATCACACCATTTATTTCATCACACCACTTATTTTATCACACCATTTATTTCATCACACCACTTATTTTATCACACCACTTATTTTATCACACCATTTATTTCATCACACCACTTATTTCATCACACCACTTATTTTATCACACCATTTATTTCATCACACCACTTATTTTATCACACCATTTATTTCATCACACCACTTATTTTATTACACCATTTATTTTATCACACCATTTATTTCATTGCACCACTTATTTTATTACACCATTTATTTCATTGCACCACTTATTTTATCGCACCATTTATTTTATTACGCGGATACTTATATGATACTCTGTTTTATTTTGTTTTTTCCGCAGAAACCAAGCTTTATATCCCAAAGAATGTCCACTTCAAAAAAAATATGCTATAGTTAAAAAGAAATTAAGAACTACTATTTTTTACCCGTGTCATAAGTTTATCACTGATTGTTGTTTCTTATTAAGCACAAAGCTACACAAAAGGCTATCTGTACTCTGCCCACCACTGGTATCGAAACTCGGTTTCTAGCAGTAGAAGTCCGCAGGCATGCTGCTGTGCCACTGGGGGGGGATTATCATGTGAATATAGAAAAAATTGAGTGGCTTTAGACTTTGTATATTGGGGACGAAATCAAAAAACCAGGCTAAATAATACTAAGTCGAAAGCTGAATTTTAATTTTTCTTTCTTTGGCTATACTTTAAAAGATGCGATTGACAACAAAATTAGATATATGTAAATAAAATATGAAAATTATACTTTTACACCTGCCTTTGTTTTATATACATGGTCCAGTTCTACTCGTGCAGGAGTGTCACTGATTCATTCACATCAAAGAAATCCACTGGTCAAGAAGACCTGGAGGGTCACCATGTGTCAACTCTGTGTACATATAGTTACAGCTGAGTCCTGAAGTTAATTTATGAAATATTTAAATAGACAGGACAGTGCCAGTTTGGTATAGACTATGTAGGATAAATAGTGGACATACCTAAGTGTTTAAAAACTATAAAACAACATTAATCTAACCTAGTAAGTCTTTCAGCTGATTCAAATATGGGAAATACAGTGAACAACACTTACATATTTGAATAACAGTTCATACGGTTTTGTGCTTGTGGAAATGCTAGTTAAGGTCTTCCTTACTCAAAGTTTGATTACAGAAATACTTATTGAACACAAACTTCCTTTAATAATTTCTCTTCATTATATAACAACTTGTAAGTTTAACTAATGTCCAAGAACTGCTAAACTGTGCTGTCTTGAAACAGAAAAAAAAAATACTGTATTCTTTAACTTCAGATTCTGTTTGAACTTTGCTAATGTTGTGACCTGAGGGAAAAACAAGCTGCAGGGAAGGTGATGTGTCACTGTTACTAGAAAAACCAGCAAGGTCAAAGTGACAAACTTTTATGTTTAGAAAATGTTACCTCATTTTCATGTGCAACACTTTAATTTTGGATAGGAGATAATCGAAAAGATTAATGATGTGTGTTTTTAACCGTGTGATGTATGTGTGTCTGAACTTTTGTCGCTATAATTGTCGCCGAACTGTCGGATAGGATTAAAATAAACACGCTTCCGAAACACCTTGGAAAAACTTTGTTTACAATCTTTTCAAATACAACTTATACAAATCTTTTTTTTTTTTTACTGGAACTAACAAGACAGATGTATGTAGGGGGTAGTAGAACTTGAAAGATTACTGTCATGTATACAACAACTTACTTGTGAGGAGGTGTTTGTAAAAGTGTTCTACCCAAACATATTGACAAGTGGCTCAAGTTTACGTACAGAAAAAAAAACCTAAAGGGTGAGGGGGGTCAAGGATACTGCAGTGACACGTCATTGACCAGTGGAGCTTGTCACAAGGTGGTGGTGAACATTTAAAATGTTATCACATTTGTAGATATAGTTTTAACTCAGTCTTGGAAGATTAAATAAAAAATTGGTTCAGAACATTATGAAGAATATACCATAATAAATATTAGCAACTTTCACTCACTCTATAAAGAAGCTAGTTAATGAGTGGCAACTTAAAAAGTCCAGGAGCGTAAAGAGCTTTCTGTGGGAGCCCTCTTTAAGCCTAAACATAATATATTTTAATTCTCTATATTTTGATCTAGTATGGTAACATTTGTGCTTTAAGTTAACTGTTTAATTTTTTTTTCTCTCTCTTTCTGATACAAAAGACTTTTGTATGCTGTTAAAGAGAAAAATATTACTATAACTAATTTATGGTTTACAGTCATGTAGGGTAATATGACCTTTTTTACACACTGCTAGTTCAGTCCATGCAACTAAATGCCTTACTTGTCTCTCTAACATCAGTGTAGACTTGAAAAATTTAGCTATTTTGGTATAGAGATGTTTGGCTTAAGACTGTAATTTTTTATTTGTGGTTTAGGTTATGTTGGATGTGTATCTTTCCTGGGAAAAGTATTAGAAGTTGTGAAGGAGTTAAAGGAAAAAAATCCCGACCTAATGTATGGTAAGATGTAGTCTTTGTTTGTTGCCACTGTTCAACATTCTGTGCATGGATGGCTAATGGACTAAACCTGTGCACGTTTGATTAATAATATTTCTGTTTTGAGAAACAAGTGTATATGTATATTGATTACCGGGTATCAATATCCACATATCCAATGTCACTTGATATCTAGAGCTAGATAAAATAATTGGTGATATTAAGAAATTGTGAAGGCTTTAGATTTTTTTTTGTTTATCCAGAATGAACATGAAACAACATTATGATATCCACTACCGTCACTTGTGTTTAAAATTTTTTGCTTCAGGCAGAAGACTTTGAAAACGTCGTCCTCTACACTTGTGTTTCTACAACAGGCAGTTGTCGTACATTCAACTAAGTTTCATCTTGAATACTGTGCCTAAACAATCAATCAAAGAAAGACTAGACATATTTAGAAATTAAAACTGTTTCTTAATTTTTGCAGTGCATAAAAGACATTTTAATACTAGAAATAGATGCCCTTATAACACCAAATTGTTGTTTTTATTTAATTGGACACTCAACGTTTTCTTCACGAGTGTTCCACTAAAACACAAACCTTAACTAACAGTACAGAGCTTCAAATGGTTCAAATAATAAATTTTAAATCTATAGCATGCATTTGTACAGTGTGTGATTCACGTAGTAAGTAGTATAACTTATTGTTGAAAGAATTGTATTGCTTAGGTTGCTGCTAAGGTCATAAGACTACAAGTGTTTTTTTTACATTTTAAGACTTGCAAGGCTACTAAGTGTTAATTTGATCTTAAAACTATCAAATGTTGTTTAAGTCATAAGACTATTAAGTGTGGTTTAGATCTTAAGACTAGCAAGGGCTGTGTAGATTTTAAGGCTGTTTGTGTTGTTTTGATCTTAAGCCTAGTATATATTGTTTACATTCTAACACTTACAAGTGATGTTTAGATCTTAACATTAAAAAGTGCTATTTAAATCTTAAGACTAGCTTGTGTTTTGAAGATTTTAAGACTAGCACGTGATGTTTAACTCCAAAGAATCATTTGTTTGGATCCAAAGACTTAAGAGTGTCGTATAGATTCTACGATCAGTAATTATTTAGGTTTAGGTTCTTTTTAAAATTCATGAAAGACGAACATTGTTGTCTGACTTCTTGTTATTTTGTAAAACCCAATTTATATATATCAATTACTTTTTTTTTTTTCCAGTTTGTGATCCTGTTATGGGAGATAATGGAAAAATGGTAAGTTTTCCAGTTTGTGATCCTGTTATGGGAGATAATGGAAAAATGGTAAGTTTTCCAGTTTGTGATCCTGTTATGGGAGATAATGGAAAAATGGTAAGTTTTCCAGTTTTTACAAGAAAATAATTGAGAAATTTATATATTTCATTTACATCAAAATTTGTTCGAGTAACTTTAATGGTTTTCTTTTTTTCTTTGTTACCGAACTTTAACGTTTAGTGACTGAGAGTATATGTGATACATGTCTACTCTTCTCCTTTTTTTTCCAGTATGTTCCAGAAGACTTGCTACCAGTGTATAGGGACCAACTTACTCCACTCGCTGATATAGTCACACCCAACCAATTTGAGGCTGAGTAAGTCATCGTAATAAAATTATCGGTTAAACGTAATCTTAAAAATCAGATTATTTGTTTTCAGTGTTTTAGCACTTCAGATGTCGCTAGTATTGAGTCCTTGAATAATGTTTCATGCAATATACATGAAATTGTTTCAGAAAGTTACAAAATTCTAAAGTTGAGAAATTAATTGAAAACGTAGCAAAGCACAGTGTGTGGCCCTGTGGTTGGCATGTTAGACTGTGAATCCACAGCATATTCATTCATTTCCTGTTACACTTTGAGTGATGGTTAAAGCTCACTATTCAGTCAGACGGGGGGTAGCCTAAAAGTTGGCCGTGGGTGCTGCTGACTAGATGCCTTCCTTCTAGTCCATTGGTTTAACTGACTTTCTAACTATGTTTATAAACAGGTTAAAAATACTTGAGTTTTGGTGGTTGAGCCAAACATCAAATAAAGTAGCTGAGGCTAAATTTTTCAAAATCTGGCAACTGAACAAACTAGTCTCGTAAAGAATCTTGGTTTGGTTTGTGTTGAATTTCACACAAAGCTATCTTACATTACTTATTGTATTGTTTTAAATTTAAACACAGACAAGATGGTGTGCTGCGTAGCATATAATAGCCACAAATGGTCGGAAGGTTTGTTCGCGCTAAGGTACACAAAGGCTATCTGTGCTAGCCGTCCCTAATTTAGCAGCAAAAGACTAGAGGGAAGGCAGCTAGTCATCACCACCCACCGCCAACTCTTTTACCAATGAATAGTAGGATTGACCGTCACATTATAATGCCTCCACAGCTGAAAGAGTGAGCATGTTTGGTGGGATTGGGATTTGAACCCACAGCCCTCAGATTGCGAGTCTAGCACCCTAACCCCCTGGAATTGGGATTCGAACCCGCAGCCCTCAGATTGCGAGTCTAGCACCCTAACCCTTGCCACCGGATCTAAGGATATTTGTAAATCAGATTCTTCTTTTTATATTGTTAACATAAAAGTGTGAATTTTAAACTAAATTCTGATGCCAAGCTTATTGACATGCATTGATAATGAAGTTTTTAAATTAAATTGAATGTAACTTTGTAGAAGGTTGTGACGTGTGCACTTTGACCCCAACCCGTATCCATAGAGTTAAATCACTAAGTAAGTTCTATCATTTACTTACGGGTTGGGCTATTAAGATATGCTATTATTGTACCAAATATCGAATCAGTTGATATCACATCACTCAGTACAGATGCACGTCTTAACAATATGATTCTAAAAAATATGTATAAAAAGATTGTCTATAGACAACAGAATTTGTAACAATATTGTAGAAATATTTTAACACTATCTTAACTTCTTAATTAAACCAAAGTAACCTTTTTATTTATCAGTAATTGATTTTAAACAGTAGAATTATTAGAATTCTTGTAAAAGTAATAGTCTTCTAAATAACCACTGTAATAATAAAAAAAATGTACCTGCTTTACGTGAAACAGCACTGTTTGAGCTTCTGCAGTGTCTAGGTCTGGTTATGTTGACCATTTCTGTACTTTCTGTAGGCTTTTGACTGGAATTAAGATCAAGACTAGGAGTGACGTTGTACGAGCCATGGAAGTTCTACACATGAGAGGAATTCCCACCGTCGTTATTTCCAGCACAGAGTTAGGATCAGACAACGTCCTTGTAGCATTAGGAAGTTCGAACAAAAGTAAGTTATAAGAACATTCTTTAGTGGGTTTTTTGTCTCTATAAACATCTTTAAAAATAAACTTGTTTCAACAAAAAAAAAGCCCCCCAGTGACACAGCTGTATGTCTGCGGACTTACAACGCTAGAAACCGGGTTTCGATACCCGTGGTGGGCAGAGCACAGATAGCCCTTGTGTAGCTTTGTGCATAATTAAAAACAAACAAAACAAAATATTTTTATCTGAAATCTATTTATTTCAAAGTGAACAAATTTGCACATGATTACGTATATATTTTACAGAGGTGAAATTGAAAGGAGAATCTGTGACGTTGAGGCCTAATCTTTTCTTTGATTGGCCGTACACACTACTGTGGACTACAGTTTTGCTTATTGAAGGTCTCTTATAACAGTAATTTGTGTACAATGTTAATGGGGTTTTTAAGTCCTTTTAAATCACCAATAAAACAACCTAAAATAATTAAATAATGTTTAAGCTCGTGCCTAAATCATTATTTCACATTATATATTGGAACAGATTTTTACTGATTACCTATATTTGTTACATGGTAAAGTGACATTGTATAAATCAGTTTAAAAATGGTCTAATACTAGTTAAGCTTTTCTGTTAACAAATGTACAACAAATATTATTTACATTATCCTACCAAAAGTCATGGGACACACCTCTGATTGCAGAAAAATGGGTGTGATGACGAAATATGCAAATAGTTTGGCCTATAAGTGTGATCAGTGGTTTACTCAGGTCATTCCAAACTTGTACGTTGAACAATGAGTACACAGAAAGAGCTAATAGAGTTTCAGAATAGTTGGATGTCATTTGGGGAAAATGTCTGTACGTGCTATTGCACAACAATTAAACATTCCCAGGTCAACAATCGGCTGAAGAAATGAAAGTCCACAGGTGACAATGAACCGAAGAAAAGACCATGTAGACATAAAAATACTGACTGACAGGATCTGACACGCCTTGAGAAGGCTGGTCACCTCATCTCGCCATCAGACCCCTAGAGAATCTGTGTTTGGAGATGCGAGCAGCCACAGGCAGTCCTATGAGTGTTTCCATGACACATCAAGAGCTGCATGCCTTGATAACCAAACCAAATGCACACCGTCGATTGGCATGGGGCAAGACACACTGAATCTGGACCGTGGATCAATGGAAATCGGTCCTGTGGAGCAATTAGTCATGTTACGCACTCTTCCAGTCCGAAGGACATGTTTGAGTATCGAGGATGTCTGGAGAACGCTCATTACTCGAGTATGTTATCCCAACTGAAGTTTGGAGGTGGCAGTATCATGGTTTAGGGGTGCTTCTTGTGGTATGGACTAGGTCCACTGTTCGCAATGCCTGGATCCATGAATGCTGAGTCCTACATTGTGGCAATTTTATCATATCGGCCCTCACACCCATGACTTTTGGTAGGATAGTGTATAACCAAAAGATTATAACAGCTGTTTAAAGTTTGATGTACGTTCCTAGTTTCATATTTCTACATTGTTATTTTTTGAATATTGAGAGACTTCTGGGAAACCATGAATAAAACGAAAGTATCTCCTCGTGATAATTTGTTCATCTTTACCATCTTAGCTTTTGGGCCATTTTTTTGTCTTTTGTAATGATCTGCAGAGTGTCTTACTTCAAATATTATTATTATTAATATTAACTTATGATCAGAGCAAACTACTTAGAGTGAAACTAAAACTCAACCTGGTATTTGTAATAAATATAGTTAATTAAATATACTTTTCTTTCTGACGTTCTGATTTATAAATATTATAATGTTTGACCTTTTAATGGAAGTAATGGGTCTAGCTAAACATACTCAAATGTTATGTTTGACCTTTTAATGGAAGTAATGGGTCTAGATAAACATACTTCAAATGTTATGTTTGACCTTTTAATGGAAGTAATGGGTCTAGATAAACATACTTCAAATGTTATGTTTGGCCTTTTAATGGAAGTAATGGGTCTAGATAAACATACTTCAAATGTTATGTTTGACCTTTTAATGGAAGTAAAGGGTCTAGATAAACATACTTCAAATGTTATGTTTGACCTTTTAATGGAAGTAAAGGGTCTAGATAAACATACTTCAAATGTTATGTTTGACCTTTTAATGGAAGTAATGGGTCTAGATAAACATACTTCAAATGTTATGTTTGACCTTTTCATGATCGTAACGATTCTGATTGTTTACTGTATGGACAAGTCTGTATAACAGTAGTATCCTATCTAAGGAAATATCATACTTTCAGGGTCGACATTTTCTTGTATGAATTATGTTTTACAGACGGTCTTGATGTACTTTAAGAGCTTTTATAGATTATACTTATTTGAGTGTATCTGTAACTATTCTGGGATATGAGTGAAAAATATCTTGTAATATCATATTTGAAAAGCTGACATTAAAGATTGTATTAACAAAGAAGTCGACCTTGTCTGATTACATATTTAATTTTTTCTTTTTCAGTGACTAATTAAATTTCTTATTATATTCAACCAGTTTAATTTTTCTTATCATAGGGTTGGTTTACCAAAACATGTTGTTTTTTTTCAGATGGGAAAAAAATTCAGGTTCAGCTTGAGATTCCTCAACTTCCGGCAGTGTTTACTGGAACCGGAGATTTATTTACTGCTCTTCTTCTTGCTTGGATGACGAGGACTCAGCATGATCTGAAGGTACAAACTATGGATTTCGATATTTGTGTGTGAAAATTATTGGGGAAGATGAGTCAAACATTTAATTGCAACTAAAGTGAAGTTATAAATCAATTTAACAAAAACTGAATTAATTCCCAAGAAAAATATAATTTATAGAGCATAGACTGGAACCAAATGAAGGAATGTTGTTGGAGCTCACATTCTTTAGCTAGCTGTTGCCAAGTGAAATATTATTGTTTGAGCACGCTCACTTACTTCAGTTGTAACAGACTGTTGCCTAGTGAGGGATTATTGTTTGAGTGTGCTCACTAAGTAAGAGAGTGTGCTCAAACAATAATCCCTCACTAGGCAACAGTCTGTTACAACTGAAGTAAGTGAGTGAGCACGCTCAAACAATAATCCCTCACTAGGCAACAGTCTGTTACAACTGAAGTAAGAGAGTGTGCTCAAACAATAATCCCTCACTAGGCAACAGTCTGTTACAACTGAAGTAAGTGAGTGAGCACGCTCAAACAATAATACCTCACTAGGCAACAGTCTGTTACAACTGAAGTAAGTAAGCATGATCAAACAATAATCCCTCACTAGGCAACAGTCTGTTACAACTGAAGTAAGTGAGCATGATCAAACAATAATCCCTCACTAGGCAACAGTCTGTTACAACTGAAGTAAGTGAGCATGATCAAACAATAATCCCTCACTAGGCAACAGTCTGTTACAACTGAAGTAAGTGAAGTAAGTGAACATGCTCAAACAATAATCCCTCACTAGGCAACAGTCTGTTACAACTGAAGTAAGTGAACGTGCTCAAACAATAATCCCTCACTAGGCAACAGTCTGTTATAACTGATGTAAGTGAGCACGCTCAAACAATAATCCCTCACTAGGCAACAGTCTGTTACAACTGATGTAAGTGAGCATGCTCAAACAATAATCCTCACTAGGCAACAGTCTGTTACAACTGATGTAAGTGAGCACGCTCAAACAATAATCCCTCACTAGGCAACAGTCTGTTACAACTGTAATCCCTCACTAGGCAACAGTCTGTTACAACTGTTGTTATATAGTGGTTCTCCATGAATTAACATGTCCACCTTTTGAACTTTCTGGATCATGTTCCCTATATCATCTTTCACTTACAATATATATATTGTTATTGGCTAGAGGGCATTGATGTTCAGATGTGTTTGTCCTTCATGTTCACAGGACACTGTACCATTCCAACTACGTTCTTTTGTATCCAGATGGGTCCTTTATACTTAAAAGTGCAGTAGCTAGCGAAGAAGATAAGGCTTTCTCTCCTATTCATCTTCCCTGTTCGGGTTCTCCACTGTTATGTGGTGTTCACTGAAGTATTGCATGTCACCAGTTATTTATCCATTAGGATCCTTTGATATCATTCAACTTATCTCCTGTCACTTTGACAAGCTGTTTCGAATAGCTTACTCTGTTCACTGAAGTATTGCATGTCACCGGTTATTTATCCATTAGGATCCTTTGATATCATGCAACTTATCTCCTGTCACTTTGACGAGCTGTTTCGGATAGCTTACTCTGGTCTTTCATTGTAGGAGCAGAGACTTCTGAGGGTCTCATCTCCTCAAGTTTGACATATATCGATGTCCCTGGCAGCTCGGTTGCGTCACCTGCTGGAGAGAATTGTACATGTTGGTATGAGGACCATACCTAATACCTTTATATCGCACTATTTACAGGACTTAGCAATCTTCTTCTTGGATGGGTATTGGCTACCCTCATGACTATTCTACTTGCCTTGGCTCCGTTATCACAGAGGTGAGTAACTTCATTCCTTTTCAGGAACCTTCTCGTCAGTCTCATTTGGATCCCACTCAGTGACAAGTGTTGTCTGGTCAGGTATGCTTTTCCAAATCTTCACTAGTTACCAGTAGACCAATAACTAAATTCCTGGTACCAACGAGCTCTATTGAGATAGAGGGTTCCATAAGACTGCCTTGGTTGGTGAACAGTTATTCTATATCAGATATAATATACAATACTGGACCAACACTCATAGACTATCATGAAGGGACCTTGCCCATCCCTGCTATCCCCTGAATTGAACAAATTGGGGTTGGTGTGCTTTTCAAATAGGGAATGTGGTTGCACTGTCTTTAGAGCATCATTCCTCAGGACTTCCCACTGCTAGTCACACCTCTCCCCACCCCCTCTTCTTGTGGAGCAGAGGAGTCCTTTCCATTCAGAGTTTTCAGTTGTTGGAGTGGTGGACAAAAGTCTGTTCTTCCTGAGTGATGTTTGTACTCTTTATTCTACTCGAGGAGAAGAGAACGAAGCTGGATACCCTTCCATCCTTAACCCTGGATGTTTTTCCTAGATGTTGGATGGGGAATTGGTCCAGCCTAGGTGGGAGCCTCTTTGTACTTCTGGTTCAGAGACGACACTTCACTATCCAGTTGTGATCGTGGCCCTTCTTTTTGGTCATTCTCTTACTTTCCATGATCATGGAAGAGGGTCCTCAACTCCTTGTAATTCTGGGAACAAGGGTGTTGCCTCTTAGATGGAGAGTTAGGATTTAGGTTCATAATCCCAGGTTGGATGATCTCTGTTTCTTCAGGTTGAGTGAGGTTTGAATTGACTCCGTAATTGCGAGTTCGGTTTGTTGAATTCTGAGCTTCTTCAGGTTGGGGGACGACTTGTCCAGTTAGGTGTTGCATGCCTTCCGTTTGCAATTCCTGTGGCTCGTATGCAACATTCTGTAACTTTTAGGTTGAGTACCTGGGCTTTGGGTATGTTTAAGTATAATGTTTAAATTCCACTATTTGGCACGACAGTAGTAGCCCAAAAGTAGTATTTGATGCTGCTGATTAGCTACCTTCCTTCTAGTCTAGCTTGTGAGAATATCCAAAAACAAACTTATCATGACTTTTCCAATTGTCTGAAAAGTTCTCTTTTAGTTAAATTACTTGGATTGAGCAAAGTCTGTAGAAATCCAAAAACAAACAAACTTACTACGATTTTTCCAGCTATTCAAAAAACTTCTCTGTCAGCTAAATTATTTGGATTGAGCCAGATTTTAAAGCTAGTTTGCCATTTGGTTATATATATATTAGTTAAATAATGGACGAAGAATGAAATATTTTCCTGCTAGGTGGCCTGTGAGAAGACAGTTAACACTCTACAAGACGTGCTGAAGAAAACATACGCACATGCTAAAGGTTAGTTTTTTTATATTATTGGCCTTAAACAGTTTCATAAGTGTATTTTAAAAAACATGGATTTCTTATGATTTAAAACCCCTTCCTATTAATTTCAAAAGTGATAAAAACATCTAGACACTAAAGTAAGACAGTTTATGAAGAAACTCTGAAGTAGATGTTTAATTTTCTGTGCTTTTTAAGCTCGAGACGTACATTTTTATTGATGCTCGGAAGAGAGAGAGACTTAATTTATATGTATGATATTTTTAATCCTTTTTACTCGCCACAATGAACCTATATTTATAGAATACACGTTCCACCACCTATAAGACCTGTATAGTTCTCTTCTTTCGATTTGCTCTTATCCAGGGTTACAGATGAGGGGGTGGAATTTCCTGAAATTCGTATAATGATATATATAGTGATAAGTGGTAAATCACATGATATATATATTTTTTAGTATTTCAAACGTAGTCTCCTGGAAAGTCCTGTGTACTGTAGTAGTGAAAGAGTAAGTCTCTTTTATGTAAGAATAGGCAGAAGTAGTATTGCAACAAACTATAAACCTAGCTTATAATAATTACTAGCTCTAAGTAGAATGTCCCCCAATGGGACAGCAATAAGTCAACAGATACAGACTTACAACGATAAAATCTGGAGTTTGATTCCCAGATATAGTAGATAGCCCAGTGTGGCTTTGCTCTAAAAAAAAAATAAACAAACAAAGCAGAATTTCTTAACCTGCTTCAGCCTAAAAACAAAACGTAGCATTTGTGCTTGTAGAGGAAAGTGCGATATCTTTCTTTGCACAAAAAGAATCTTTTGAGAAACATCTCATTTGTATTCTAACATAATTAGGTTTATTTAAATGAGATATAATGATAAGTGGGTATTTTTATATTGAAAAAATATATAGCCTTTTCAAAACTGTTAGTTGTTTTTTATATTCTGTTATGCTATGTTTACTTGATTTAGAAAAGATTATTAATTTATAAAAAAATTGTTCTTTCTCTCGAACACGTTATATCTATTTCCACGTTCGTATAAAAAAACAACAACTGCTAACCTGAGCTCTCATATAACCCTTGATACTTACAAAAGATTTTATCTTTGTTCAAAATAAATATATTTTAAATACAAACAGTTATATTGCAAGACTCAATATTTTGTGGAAATTTAGTGTGTGAAGTTTTTGACAATTCAAACTAAGTAACTTTTGTGGATGTAATGATTTGTGCATTTTAAGTAAAAACACAGACACGTGGTTTGTTACTTAATGTTGATTCTATTAACTGAAATGTTACTGTAACTAGAATGTTTTATGAGTTAAAAAAAATGTTTTGAATGTCTGGAATATGCAGCTGTACCGATTTAATTTTTTGAAATAATTGCATTAGACATCAGAGAGTTATTAAAATTAAGTAATTATTATTTTACACTCATGTTGATTTATTTTTGTAATTATTTGAATTTCAGAAATGTGTGGAAGTGAAGACAAATTTAATTCAGAATTGTTGGAGCTAAAGTTAATCCAGAGTAGAGAATTTATTGAAAATCCCACGACTCACATTGAAGCATGCATTGTTTAAGTCGTTATTAGATTATTAGGAATTGTAGGGGCGGAAATGACCAAAATATCATATTGTTTGCTGTTGTTATTTTTAATTGTTATGTTTGTGTGTGAAAATCAGTGTATCTTAATATTAGAATGAGATATAATTTAAGATTGTTGACTTTTTTGAAAGTGAAATAATAATAATAAAGAAATGGAACCAACAGAGGACAATAATATATGTGAACACGCAATGACAAGTTACATGAACTGTACTTTTAATACACTGACTTTTTAAAGGAAAAAAAAATATCATGTACGAGATAATTGTGATTCGTTAGGCTGTAGATTATAACAAGAAAAATTATATTAAACTTTCTTTGTTTAAGTACTTACTCGGTTTACTTGTTTTCCCGTGACAAAAGCGCAAAACCACTTGACAGTTTCTAATTGTATATCATGACATTTTTTGTAATTTATGAAGTCCAGAATTTAATTTCTTTATATTAGTTCTTAGGGGGTTAGATTTTAAACTTAGGAGTCACAGACTAACACTGTATTATAACCTCTTTCTCATATCGCATGATGTAGTTATAATCTACGACAAGGCTCGAATTTCAGTTTTAAGGTTGATCAGCAAACCTAGTGGTCTTTTTTTTTTTTCAATTTGATTGGCAGTTTGTTTAGTTGCCTGGCAATGATTAAATATAATCTTTAAAAAACTGATAATTCCATCATTTTTGCATCTAGTTTTGGTTTTCTCTTCTCACTGCATCATGTGGAGTATACACTCAGAAAAAAATGAACTTTTTAAATTTATTTGTACTAAGAACCACAGACTTTCAGTTTCAGCTTGTACAATAAAGACAGATTTGTATTCAGATTCGCAATGTCTTCTTTTATTCAATTTCGTCATTTAAATTGGCCTCGTTTTTACGTGTACCATCATCCATTTGCATCTGATCGAGCTTTCTAATTCTCAACCATGCTAATTTTTATCAACACTGGTTATTTTGTTCGTATATGAAAATCCACATTAAACACGTGCGTTTGAAATGGTCAACAGTAACAAAAATCATTACATCCTCAGTAACGACAGGAAACTGAACTGGTGCTGCATTACTATATGCTCCCAAAGTTTCACTGTGATAAAAATTTGTCCTGAACGGATGATAAATGTTAAATCCCTAGAATTTCTTGAGCAGGATTCCCCCAACTGACACCACACATGGGTCTTTCTGTTTGTGGTAAAAGAAAGAGAGTATGATAGATTCATAATAACCAGAAAGGATAGAAAAATCCTGTGGCCAAACAACTATATTCACTGTTAGGTCACTCGTCTGTGTATTTGTTAATCATATCATTAATATCAGCATGTTTATTACTAACTTCTGTTCCTACTTCAAGCTCTCCATCAGAATCTGTATCAGTTAAGAATGAAATGTTACTAGCATGGTCAGTGGCATTTTAATTCATTGATTCAAACGATGCACATAAATAACGAAATGAGTTTAGAATAGTTGAAATATTTATTTGTGATGGAATGTCCGAGAGAAAAGTGTGTGTGTATAATATTTGAGCTTTAGTGAAACGAGTTCTTTCAGAAATTTTCATATTTGGTCTTGCCAGGATCTTTATTAGGTGATTTTGGGCCTTCAGTAAGTTATTCAATGTATAACATGTGAACTGTTTGCCCCTGAAGAAGAAAGGTCCACCTTTCGAAAGTGCTCGGGTTATAGGGTTTTTATATATGTGAACTGATAATATTCTGCAGTTTTCTTTTTGTCTTAATGTGACTTATCTGGTACCAAAGTGTTTTAAAGGCTAAGATTAAGGTAACCGTAAACTTCCACATTCATCTCTAATTTCTCAGATGTTGTATTGAACTTGTCTGTTCCGTGTTGATCAGTGTATTCAAAAACAAAATGGGTAAGTTTAGAGGAAGATGACTGGAGGGAAGTGTTCCATTAACACATTTTCTAAATTAAATATCGTGCATTATCTCTGATATTTCAATTTCTTTTTGTTATTGGCAGTCACTGGAGGCATGATCAACAAATATCTAATAACAGTTGCTGGCCATCAAATTCGAGCCTTGTACCTTATTTCTGTCTTAAACTTGTGTTAACAAATTTCTAACCATTTTGTTTTAAATCTGTTTACAAAATTTCTGAACACTATGTATAAAATTACTCTGAATGAACTTGTGTATGACAAAAAGTAATTAGTGAATAAGTGACTAATAATCTTTATTTTTTTAAATAATGTATTTTTTTTTTTACCATTTCCTCTGTTTGAACCAAAACTGATCTCTTTTTAAATTTCTTGGAAGTTAAGTAATTTTCTTATTTTTGTTAATCGAATTTGCATCTTCAGTTCATGATTAGGAGAAAGGAGTCAATTATCTGTACGACTTGTGTATATGTATCTATATTGTGGTTATACAACAAATTTGTTGATTTAAAAATTCAGCTGTACGTAAACATTTAAATAGAGTTGGGAATTGTATGTATTAACTTTCAGTTTCCGAAGTTAATTATCACATTTCATTACTTACCTTACTTAAAGTCAGTGGTTTTTAGTCAAAGTTCAGTAATTAGCATGCTCACAAATATGTAGAGATTAAGTAGATTATGATAATTTTATCATACGAGAAGCTATAAAAGTAGAATTTAAAGGAAAATGTTTTTTTTATTAACATTCTGTAATAACTTGTGACACTGTAATTTCAGCTTACAATGTACGTATAGTCTTATATCAGTTCCTAGTCATTACAGTTGAATTATTTATAAACTGTAGATCCAAGTTTGTGTTTTAACTTGATGAACCAATGAAATTCAGATTGATGCAGTTTCTAAGAAACGTTACAAAAGGTTTTAGTCGATATTGCATGAGGAAAGTTAACTTATTAGACTAAAAGCTCCAGTGCTTTTTTGTAATACAACAGTAAATTAATGAAAACTGATAAGGCTCAACTCTTGAGTAAGTTTATGTAACGAAATCACAACAATTATGCAACCCTTATAAGGCTAGATTTTTGTTTCGATGGTAATCACAGTTGATTTTTTATTATGTTTGTGTTTGTGTGTGTGTGAGAGAAAGATTTTGGTGTCAAAAACTTGTCAAACTTCATAGTTTATTGACCACAAGTAAAAAAAAAAGGTATTCTTTACCAGATGCACAAATCTTAAAGAAAATATGTTGGTATCTGAAATGAACACGAGCTTGTAAAATATACAAAATTACTCCTCTGGACAAGCTACTATAAATTTGTAAGTATCACATAGACTTTCGTACCTGATTAACATTCATATTAACAGTTTTATTAGACATCCAAG